ATTATACATAAACTCATGCAAACCCCGTCTCTCCCGTTAGGACAGATCAGACAGTTTTCTGAGCTGCACAAACGATCATAGAGACGGTTTCGAACTAACTGGCGGCGTAGGGTATTGTGTCGGATATAAATAATCGTTACATAATTTTCAAGACCACTTTTTCTTAAGCACTTTTTAATGGCGCGACATACTTCATTTGATATGAAGGGCAGCTTAAAGAAGATTATTGACATCCCACCCAATACCATACGCCGTCAGTTAGTTCGAAACTGTCTCTATGATCGTTTGTGCAGCTCAGAAAACTGTCTGATCTGTCCTAACGGGAGAGACGGGGTTTGCATGAGTTTATGTATAATATACTTGATCTCATGTAACGCATGCGGCGAGGAATATATTGGGGAAACGGGTAGACCACTTTGTGTCCCCATAAAAGAACATCTAGATGGGAAAGCTAAAATCCGTTCAAACACCTCTCTAGGTACGCATAGGCACAAAAGCACAACGACGATGATTTTGAAGTGAATTTGCGGATCCTAGCGCAGGAATCAAAAACATCAACGCGCAAAACTCTTGAGGCGTTTTGGAGAAATTTCAAATATCCAAAGATGAACAGGAAGGACGAATGCCTAACTATCACGCGTGACCTGGCGCCCTATTTCAAAATGATATTTTGACCCCGGGGCGTGTCTTGCTCGCGACTCCACGTGAACTACGTGTAGGCCAATCCCACACGTAACATCACGGTTAGTGGTCTTTCTGTTCAATATGGCGTCTATTTGAAAGTTTGATCTTCATTAATACTTCAACTTTCTTTTCCACCGAATAATAAGAAGTATTCTAACATAAAATACGTCCAGGCTCTGAGGAAGACGAAGTCGCCGAAACGTCCGCCATCGATCAATAACATCAAAAACAACGACAACGACAACGAAGATCTGTACCAACCTCGCGCCTGCTTAAGAAGATCAGTTTATAAGATCACATAAATAAATAGTTAAGAAACTTCCCCATATTCGGCCTCTCTTTGCTTCCACACCAACTGCCTGCCACTGTTTCAAGTACTTCAACAGCGCTGAGAAAATGTTAGCAAGGACGCAGCTGGTGAAAAGGCCTCTAGAAGACTAGCTGCCTCTGAATTTGAAATAGGTTAAAACCTTCTATAAAAGGATCTTGACGTTGATCAATCCCTGAGGGATAATCCATTTATTCGACTTCATTTAGCAATGTTAGAGGTGAATGAATGCTTATTTGCCCTTTACAATGGCTAGCGGTGGCCTACTGATGTATCGAGCCAACGCTGCTATCCTCCCAGATAAGTCTGGTACCAGTTTGTCCGCGCCGGAGGAAAGATGAACTTGCTGAACTTAGGGGCTTGTGGGTCGATCCTATGTGTATTGCAGTTCGTCTTCGACCACTGCGCTACACGCGTCTCTTCTATTGTTACTATTATGATATCGGAATAAAAATGTTTCGAGATAAAAATTTTAAGGAACTGCACTTGGCCCCATTAAGAGCAAATTTTTGTGAACATGGTGGTAAATTCAAGAAAAAGAAACGAAGGAATATTTATATACTTTTAAGCCTCAACGAATATCTGCAATTTACCGATGTCAACTGGTGAAGGCAATTACAATTTGGAACGATATTACTTTGATCAGTCGTCGAAAACGTGTCGTCCTTTCATATACAATGGACTAAAAGGAAACCAGAACAATTTCATAACGTTGGTGAGAGATTTTAGAAATTTACCACTTATCTGTGAACTTTCATTTGTCACTTACCTTTATCTCATACTGTTTTTTTCCTTTCATGATGGTAGACAAACAATGAAGAGACTAGAGAAATATGCACCTGATTCATTGAACCTTAGTGGACTTTAATTCAGCATAAATTTTGGTCCTCTAGTCTTCACAGTATTTTTGATAAACTTGTGTCTTCGGTGAAAGACTGGCTACTTGCTTGGATCGGATCAAAGAGCAGGTGTTATCGTGTTGAAGCTTCAACTTACAGGGAGATAGAAATGTTATTGAGAAAGTAGTTGCCCCTTTTTAGAAGTTCAGAGATGCAGTATGGCAGTGTATTTCTGGAGTTATCAAGCCTTTCTTCTACGTTCGTTGAAATCCGAACTTATTTTACGATTCTTGGTTACTCGTGATATAGCGTTTTAGATGTTTTCCACATGTATATGTGCAAGCTTAGAAGTGTTTTAAAAGGATTCATACGCCACTTTTGTTCATCACGTACTATTACTTCTTAAGATTGCACAAGTGCCTGTTAAAAGCTGATTTAAATAAAAATAAGTCAAAAAATAAAAACCTCTGTTTGTCCTCAATATGATCCTTTATTGAAAACTGTTGACCAAAGTCATGCATAACTCTGATAACAACGCTAATATTAAAACTGAATAGTACCAATATCATCTTTTATTTGATTTTAGCGAGCCTGTCAACTCTCTTGTCAACCGCTTGATAATCCGTGCATCGGTCAACCGGCCACTACTGCTGCTGGACAGGTGTCGTTTTCATTTTTAACATGTAAAGAACAATCCATTTCACTCATTCAGGGATCTCTAACCAATTAGTTGAAGGATTAGATAACGTGTTCGTATATTGAGGTTAACAGCAACGGTAACTTTGTTATTACTCTTACACCTAAAAGAATTCTGGAAATGGGCCCCATTTATGAAGCACGGGGTAAGTTCCTTGTATACACAATCATATTAGTAAATGGATGTGATTGCTGAATTGCATCCTGCATGTCATTCGTCCGAAAGACTCCATCAAACGATTGGGAAGTTCAGCCGGACGTGGTTCGAAGTCATCGTCGAAGAAAGGTCTACCTATATTCTGGGAAAGACTGACAGGCTACTAGTGAATATACCAGTCCTACAGCAGAATCAAATATTTAACTACAGGCATGTACACAAATATAGGAATTCTTCATTAACAACGTCGGTGAAGAAGACTAAGTGCGATGTTATTGAACCAGCTGAAATGAGAAGATAGGATCAATTAAACGTCTTCTATGTTATAACGGATAAGAAATGCTCTTTGAAGTTCGCCATACAACAAGAGCTGGTGAATTTGTTCGGCAACACGATCGTTGACAGTGTCTCAACACTAACGACAGTAATCGAAAATGGGATGAAGAGAAAATCTCGTGTTAACGTTGTACATGTTTGTCTCTCGGTGGAGCATACTGTGATAAAATACACATTACAACCCGTTGAAGATTTATCCTAACTAAAGTCACTGTTATGCTGGAGTTTTGTATGGGATTCGAATATTCCTTTCAGGTAAGACTTTTTTCACTGCATCCCGGTGGAAACCACAAAGTTTAGTGAACGAATTTTTAAAACAGTCATAAACATAAATTGGAAATCGTCCGCTTCTTTAGTGCGCTTCTAAAAAGAAACTGCTCTATACAATATCAAGGAGGTACATGATCGGCTCATCTAACATATACTCGGTTATACTTAAAAAGCGAAGAGTTTTAAAGCAAAAAAGAAGAAGTTTGGAAATGCGCTAATATGGAGTCGCGCGTGAGACAGAAACCAATAACTTGCGTAAGAATTTCCAAAGCGCTGAAGAGAATCGATGAAGGATTAAAGAAGATAATAATGAAAGAAAACCATAAGTACCAGCTGTAAATCCAGAAGATGGATCTCAAAGGCATGCTAGGACTTCGCTGATTACCAGCCTTTTAGAGCCTAGAATATCCTTCGAATTAGGAGAGGAATCATCGATACTTATCGCTCAGTCTCCATTCTGTCCGTCGTCCACAACCTTCTTATTCGGGGCGTTTTTAAAGGATTTTTTCAATTTTACACGACCCATATTCCAAATCTATTGTGCGATTACTAGCTCTTCTTCCATTCGATTCGTTTCATCGCATCCACCATTCACGAAACTCCGTTTTTGCGCGTGGGTTCGGCTGCTGCCTGAGGATTTTCTCGTCATGAATGCCGTTGAATGCTGCTCGAGTCAATTCTCTCTGGTGTCCTTAGATAGCCTGAGTGGAGCGTTCCCACCTGGAGTGCGCTTTTACCAGACAAATCTGGTAACAATTTTCCAACCCCGGAAAGATGGGAGGTTTGATGAGTATGGGGCGAGATAGACTATCATGGCTTTAGTGATAATCGGCACCACTTCCACGACGCAATCCGCTGACCTTTTAATAGAATACTGAACAGAAATAGTTCTATTAGCACGCACTGTATCTGTAGGGACTGGGAGCGGCGAGTTACCTACGCGGCAACAAATATCATTGAAATGTTGCGGCAATGCAATGTGGCAGTTAGTCTTAGTTGCATTAACGTACAGAACGTCCACTCAGGTGAAACAGAAACAGTCACAGGTGGTCTGCAGAATTTGGGATTTTGTGCCATCTTCATAAAGATGCATTATGAGCCAAACAACGTTTCACGGCAAAAGTTTTGCTATTCTGCAACATGCCCACCACCTAGGTAATGAAAAGTGTTACCGTTACCTTGCTAAAATTTTGTGATCATCTCCCTTTATGAGAAAAATAACACGGAATAATATTTTGAGACAGCAAAGGATGAAGGCTCGTGGTTGGTCAACCACTAAGAGATCCGCCATTTATTCGACATAATCGAGCATGGTAGAGGTGAGTAAATGTTGCAATTATCGCCTCTGCAATAAGTTGCGGTGTCCTGTCGGTGTATAAATTTAGTGTTGTTTTTCTTCTTATACAAAACTGGTAGCAATTTGGCAATCGTGGAAAAATGAGAAGCTTAATTAGCACGGGCGCTCAATTAAGCCAATGACCAAGATGTTACCTTATGGAATAATCTGAAACATCGGTCAGACAACAATCGGTGGCACATTTCTACTGCAGGGATTATGAATGACGGGTTCGCTTGTGATCCCCCGCATTCGCACTCAACGGACGATATTCTAGCCGAGAAGTCAGCATAATGGATGACTTGGCATCAGCTTTAAGCATGAGGAAACGAGAGAAGAAAAGAGTAAGACTGGTATCATGTCCACTTTTCGACATTTCGGCTGTTCCTACTTTAACGTATGCGACAGAAACCTTGAGACAAACCTGCACACTATGTACGCAGCGCGAAAGGATACTCCGCACTGTCGAACACCCTAATGAAATAACGATGCCAAAAGTAACATGTATCATCCTAATGAGAGAGTCAATCGGCGATTTCGACAGCGATCAAGGAGCGGATACTCTATCTATAGGTTAGGATTTCAAGACTCTGCTTTATTGAAAAATTATTACGTCTAGTATAACGAAAGCCGTTAGAAACTGAGTCCCACGAGTTTTCAGATACGAAAAAGTTTCAGTATTGCACCGAAGAAGCTCATTGCTTCACGTTTCACGATTTTTAAAAACAATGCCGAGGTAAAAAATTAAACTGCGTTATAGGTTCTATTCTGCTCGTCGACCAACAAAGACGCGTGTCCGGTGAATTTCTGGTGCCACATCGGTGCGACACCAGAAACTACCGTGTGCTGTCCTGGAGGTTTGTTGCAGAGTCGATAGTGAAGGCATTTTTCTGGATTGTAGGATATCTCTGAGTAAAAGTCGCGCTTTCAGCAACAAACGCTTGTTCCGTGCCGCTTGCACCCGGTACAGGCAATGCCGGTTTGTCAAGATGGTACTATAATCCAGATGATAGGGTAAGTCTAAAATTACTCATGAAATGTCATTTCTTCACATGTCAGTGAGGAAGTCCAGGCGGTAAACGATGTTTAAATGCAATTATTGTTTTAACTTTCTCTTCTATTTGTCGTAAACACTCTGTACACCCACCTTATTCGTAGTAGGGGAGATGCTTGCTCAAAATCATGCAGGATAATAGATAAAAAGTTAAATATTTGTGATTTCGACTACATTCTTAGCCTAACTGGGTTGAATGCCTATTTGTGCTCACTAGATCAACCCCGCTGACGGGTGATTGCTGATGACACCGTTACGGTAAAAGACTGGCTGAAAGAAGCAAAGCAAGGTCCTCTATGGTGCAGTGGGAACATGTGAACCCTTGGAAAGGGTAATTGTGGGTTAGAATCTAACCTGAGGTCCAAGTTTTGCAAATTTCTCAGCATCACTTAATAATAATGAGCTGTACATAAAAAGTGTGATGACATCTTACAGGGCATTTGTTGGAATTAGCACATGTACGCATATTTCCATCATTTATTTATTACCTTTCTCACCGCCTCCCCCACCAACCCTTTTTAGCTCTTTTAAACAGTGTTACCTCAGATATTGTTTTACTAGTTATTTTCCCACGACTATATTACCAGGTCCTTCTATCGCTTTTTGAAGTTCTCATCAGAATGTTCCATTGTAAGTCGTTTTCTTTCGTTCTTTCTGTAGACAATCTACACAATGTTATTAAGCCTCTGTCAAATTCTATACTGCATGTTTATTTTGGCAACGTACGAACGGGAAGAGTGGCGAAGTATGATTGCCTTTATCGTTTGATTATTCAATACTTTCAGCAATGCTTACCATTTCAATATAACGGTAAGCGAGGAAACCAGAATAATTTCGAGACACAAGCTGAATGCGAGCGGACTTGCCCAGGTGAGTTTGACTCTTCAGTGGTATGATGAAAATCATCGGTCGGCGAATGTGTGTGTGTCTTTCTAATCTAATCTGCATGATTTGCTTCTTCTTCACTTTGCACCTCTTCTTCTTAAAACAATAAAAACCCGACCAACCACTCCATCGACGACCGAGTAGGTCTAGAGGAGGTTTCAGTAATCATGAATCCGTGCCTGGGTAAAGTACATCGTGATGAGAATGGTACAGCTACCGGTTGTAATCCGATGACACTCGATCAGTGTCCGAATGATTTCTTTTGTCTCGTCGGCGATCCGTCTGCAAACAACATGAGCTATTGTTGCCCTAAGTTAAATGGTGAGTTACAGCTGTATAAAATATCCACAGTTGACTGTATAGGACAGTTTTTTTTAAGAGAGCGACTTTGATGTCAGGAGCGAAATATTGGTGTTAACAAGTGTTAGGTTTCATTTTTAACTAGTGCGGAGAAATTTGTTTGACTTGCATCACATGGACTTAAATGTGTTGACTGAAAATATTTCTGTTACATTGTAACGGGAAAGCGGTTAATCAATGTCATATAAAGTCTCTAACGCTTCATAAGCTTAAACTCTTGGCAACTTGCAGTAGATCTACTGTTCAAGATGGATTTCGACTGACAGCTTTTTGCACCACTACTCAATTATGAGGTTTTCAATGTGTTATTAGAAAATTCATTACTTTGTTTCCCTCAAGGAAAGTTCGCTGATTTGTATCATGTTATCTCTAAATATCAAATTAGGATAACACAGCAATGATTAATAGGGCTCTGCTCTTCTAGGATATCGCAACAATACGAGTTGATGTTCTAGATAAAATAATTAGATAAATAGGTAGATATAGTCTAAATATCCCAAAAATTACTAGATATAGTAGATATCTCAAGACTTAAATGTTCTGATTTAAAGCCTTCCTGTTACATTGCAACGTGAGATACGGTCGACCGAAACAAAATCTCTAACACTTAGTGGGGTTAAGCTCATTAAGAATGTCGTCGTTGTTTTTGTTGGAAATTAGTTAACTTGCTCAAATCATGTTACCCGTGATCAGACCGAAATAACACAACGACGATCAAAAGAACTGTGCTGTTCTAAGATGTCTCAGAAATACTCATCAATCAATATGGGAATACAGACGGTGCATGTCGAAATATGTAAGCATAAGAATTGAGTGTTTTATAGAAAACATTTGTGATTCACCATGGAGTGAAGGTGAAGACGATGAATTCCTTGATCGTTTCTACTACGATTCCGTTGAAGGAGAATGTTATCCGTTCACATACAAAGGCCGACGAGGAAACGAGAATAACTTCCTCATGAAGAAGATCTGTGAGGAGACATGTAGGCCAAGTTAGTTATTCATTCCATTTTTGTTTTACTGGATGTATCAAAATGGTACCAGTAAACGTTCTCCAAACTTGGTTATGTAAACATTCTTCCATAGTGTTCTGGTTAGATGTTGCACTTTTGTAGCAGTCAACACCATTAAATATTTGCTAACAACTGCACCTAGAAATATTTTTGAAGTGATTTTACTCCCCTATTAATGTCTCAAGAATTTTATTTCTTTCAAATTCAGTTTTGTTACAGTTTTTATTATTACAGGCACAATAGTTTGCTTTGGCGGTGAAAGTCCACTCCTCTCTCCAAGCGGAAAAATTGTCCAGTGCCACAACGAGCCGTGTCCTGGCAGTCATTACTGTCATCAAGTCAAGGACAACAAGTCTACCGTCTGTTGCATGAAGAAAGGTGAGCCTCAGAGAGAATATGAGTACCGTACACTTTGTTGGTATCACTAGTTAAATTCGATAAGTTTCTTCTCTTATTTAAACGATATACTGTTAGAATTGACTGTAGATTTTTCATGAGATTCGTAAGCCAATATCTGACAATTATATGAAGGAAAAATTCGCCAGGAAATAAAAAAGACATTACTTACACGAATGAATTGTGCATCGCATGTTCTTCGGTGGAAAATCGGAGTTTTCTGAGTAGTCCTTTGAGACCACAACTGAACAACTTTCTGAACACTGCACTAAAATAAACCCGTTGTGCAAAATGTTTGGACTTTCCTAAGGTACAGCATTCATAACTGTTTAAACATAGGTAAATCTTTTAGATATAAAGTTTTTCTTCGTCTGGTTCTGGTTTTGGTTTTGGTCGACTGACATTACATTTTCAGGATACAGAGGTTATTGTCCTCACGGTAAGCCTCATATGCTCAACGGAGTGGCGACAAAATGTGCTGTTGACACCAAATGTCCGTCCAACTACATTTGTCACATTAGTAAGCGTGAACTGAAAAGTACTTGTTGCCCAGATCCAGGTAGGATTTTCCATAGTTCACTTTCGGATGTTATCTGACTGGGTTGTTTTAACAGATTAGAATAGAGCATCATTCTCAAGCACATATTGAAGTCAAGCATAGTTATTGGCACGATAACGTGACAACTATGGCTTTCTTTCTTCCGGACCTTGTAATAACATTTTAGGACTTTGGCTATGCCTGGACAACTTTCAATTTTCCCATTAGACATAAATAGGAAATTATATAGTTTTTAAACCATTTAAACTGCTATCCTTCTTTACCACAGAACTCAGTGGCAGTCTTTTTTCCTTAATAGAAAGTCGTTATGTCTCAGAAAGTGCAGCATCTCAGCTGTTAGTGGAATATTTTGGCACTGTTACTTAAAACTTTTATGTCTGCCTACTTCTTATTGATATAAGACAAGTTCTTTTATGTGGGGTTAACAAACCAACTTTAAAACCCATAAGTGGTCCTAAAGGAAGCGTTTACATTTAAATCCAAAATTTTTATGGCACCACATAGTTCTACGATGAATATTAGTTTCAGCGCACTTTTGTTTTCTGGACGAAGATCCAGGTCCATGCAAAGGCAATCATACAGGCTACGCATACGAACGGATGAATGGAGTTTGTAGAAAATTCACGTGGACGATACTTTGTATATTTTATATATATATAAATATATATATATATAATCACGTCTTATTAAACTGACCAATTACTTCAAATAAATACTATGAAAGAATGGCAGCAATCCGTTTGTTATGCCAGTTTTTATGCAATGATTTCCACTTCTACGGACAGAGGAATGAGATGGAGGCGTGTAGAGCAGTGGTCGGTGGTCTGCAAAACGCATGGTATCGATCTCCGCGCCCAAGGCTAACCAAGCCTTCTATCCCTCCGAGATCAGCAAATTGGCACCAGGCTTGCCTGGGAGGATAGCAGCGCTGGCTTGATACATCAGTAGGCCACTGTGAGCCATTGTAGATGCCACATACGCATTCTATCACCTCCAATGATGCTCAATGAAATCGAATGCATGGCATATCCCTCAAGGATTGATAAATGCTTAAAGCTCAATCCTTTTACCCTTTATGTATAAAGAAATAAAAACAAATAGCTGCAGAGAATGTAGAGAAAAAAGCTAGACATTCATATATGACCAAAGAATGGCAACAGATTAGTGGGTACTGTAATCGCAAGCACCATTTCATTGAATAGCTAGCACAGTCACGTGCAACTTATAGGCTTTGATTTCCTGACTACTAATTTCTCGTAACAGATCTTTAATTCCTTGTTACCAGGTTTTCTTTCGTATTTATTTATCGGGGTTTTAATTTATCCATTGTATTTTTAGGTATGGTGGATCTCAAAGAAATTTAAATAGTTTCAGCAGTCTTCAACAATGCACAGAAATCTGCTCCAGCAAAGGATATCTTTAAAGCTTTTCACTATGATTGTGATTTATTCATTTTCTCATTTTAGAGCCATTAATATCCTATATAATATCGTATACACCAACTAACTGAATTTTGCCTTCTTTTGTTGTTGTTGTTTTCGTTGACGATTGCCTCAGTTGAGTAGCTTCTATTCCATTTTGTTAGCTTTCCGTTTTCTTTCACATTAGAAGTATTTCAATAATGCTTTCAAAAATACTCTGTAACTGACAACTCTATGAAAACTAATGCATCCCATAAGGCCGATGTTGTCCATGGAAGGCTATGAAGGATCGTATGTATGAGTAACATATGCTCCTACAAGGTTAGTAAATTTACGCATTGCCGTCGAGTTATGAATGCTCAGTTACGTTGAGATTCTGCATACACGGAATTGCGGATTCCATTCGCAAAATTCTCTGCCAACCTTGTTCTCGGTTAATGATCGTAGATCTGTTCACTCTTTATATGAGGCCAGTGAGTTTCGCAATACGGAATTGTGGTTCCTATTTACATCTCAATGTTAACTGTTTGGACGTTTTCATCGACGGCTCATAGGCAGTGAGAGTTTCTTTGCCGAATTGGCGTGAATGGAATTCTGCTCGGATGTCCGTCTGAGCCATCGCCTTATCAACAGTGCATGGCTTTCGTCTAGTGCACCTTGCTGCCTGTTTTCACTAACATCAATTTACTTTGGGCGGCCTAACCTATCTCTGTTTCAGTAACAACGCCGACCAGGTGATTTACAATAGTTGTTTTTTTATAACACCAAACTAAAATATGTTTGCAGAAGAACTATGTCTGTTATCAATTGATCGTGGTGCTTGTGGAGGACGGCAGACACGATACGCATTCAACCGACAAACGGTAATCTGACTAGTATAAATATTTTCCAAACTCTAATTAAGTTCCACTCAAAGTTAGAACGGCTTAGAAATCGAAGTGGTCAGAAATAGCGAGTAATAGATGCATGTTCGTTATTTAGAACACGCACTGGGCCAACCAAACATCAAACATTTTCCAGCGTCAGCAGACTAGTACCATCTGAAAAAATTCCTCTTCGAGCCACAAAGTTACTTGTTCTGGGACCTGGGAAGAGATTTAGCAGAATTACTTCGAGATTCCAGAGACAGTCGATTTGACCAGCATTCAGCAACATTCATGAAAAAGGAAAATACCTAAAGTAACAGCCGAACCTATACACACACCGGAAGACCTTTTTTATGATGGATGCCAGATAATGAACTCGAAGAAGAAATGAAAGAAGCGCTTGGATTCGCACAATATGTGGAACCGGGTCGTGCAAATAAACATAAGGTTAAGAAATCGTACAACATGCTCGAAATGATCCTTGTTTTCTGTACTTTAAGATAGGTGTGGATACAAAAATGTAACAGAAAAAAGTGCAGAAGAAAAATTGCATGTGGAAGCGTCATTCTACATAAATTTTACACAGAAATTCCCTATTTCCAGCTGGATCAGGAAGTAATATTAAGCATTTCTTTTCAGTGGTCTGTACGAAAACTAACGATTTCTAAAAATGAGAACGACCGAGAGGAAAATTAACAAAACCGATCCTTTCCTACATCACCCGTTATCACACCTACTGTGCTGATCCCTGCGCTCCTTAGATTCGATTCGTTCACCTCTCATTCATCGTCCACAAAACTCTTCGAACATTTCGAATACTGTTTCGGTTCCTTCTTGAAGATATCTTCCCTCTTATGAATGTCATAGAATGTTGGTCGAGTCGATTCTCCTTGCAATCTTGTAGATACACGAGCCAAGGCTTTACCACGCGAACTGTAGGTCGTTGAGGAAGGGTCGAATTATTCGCTTGCTTCCTGATGGTCTGCATAACTAACAACTGTGCTACTACCAGTTAATAAAATGGGAGACTCATAATCGTTCACAACATGAAATCATACTTACTGATGTAACTCATCTGGAAACCACTTCACCAACTTGATATTCCCTCCTTAGTCCTACTAAAAAATAGCTAAATGTTCAAAACCCATACAGTTTCTAGGAATTTAATTTCTTCTAGAGCCAATGCATACCGTTCGACTACACCGGTTGTGGTGGTAATCTGAATAACTTCGTTTCAATGATGGATTGTATGGCCACCTGTGGTAATGTTGGATTTCGTCGATGACATCCAATCGAATTCTTGACTTCTTCACAATCCCATTCAATCGTCACTGCCCTCTATTCATGCTTTCCTCAACGTCTTCCTTCAATGTGATCCTTGGTATTACCACTTTGGTGTCTGTGTGTATAACATGTCTCCATGTGTTTACTGCCAATATTTATAACCAATTGAGACGAAATTTGTAGTGATGAAATTGATTATCATTCTTTCAACGGTGACGCATGACTTTCTGCATCAATATTTTGCAAATAAAACTTACAGTATTGAGATTCAACATTCTCGCTGGTGATTCAAATGCCTCTTCCAACGGCCGAACGCCTCATCGTGGCTGGGAGGTGTTCCTAGGTGTTAAGCTGCGATGTACAGCGAGAGGATTCGTCACATCGTCCCCTCCTTCCCCAGCAGGGCCTCCTAAGATAAGGAGTCCGGCGTTTCCGTCAGGAAACCTAGCTAAGAGTAAACTAATACCAAGATCTGTCACTCTACCTGTGGTTGTGACGACCCGGGGCAGACTTGCGATAGGCTGACCTCGGGACTCCACGGAACTACAATGGCTAAACCAGCAAAACTTCCAAAGAAAACGTGAATTATGTTCGCACAACCAGTGAGGACGGGCCATCCAAGTAACCAAATGAGATTCAAATGCCATATTTACTTAAGTCTGTGTAAACTATACACATTGGTGTCAAAAAAGTCGTTGACTGAGTCTTAGTGTACTCGATTGCATTACAGCGGATTTTTTGGTCCTCAGACGTATGAAACATTACAGCTTAGTCGTATATTTGAAAGGATACCAGTTTAACGCGACAGCTGTTTTACACATAGAGTCGCTTAGTTGCACATTTTCCACCAAACAAATTACGTGTTACACATAGTACTCGATCAATCTGAGGCTGGGAAACACACGAAATCTCATTGTTGTAACTCTACAGAAAACCATGACTGTTATTGTACTAATACGTAGCACAACAATTGTACTGCCATTATTACACATATTTCCATCTAAAAAATATATAAGCTGCAGCAACAGAGCGCGTGTAGCGCAACGGTCGGAGTGCAATACACATAGGATCGATCCTCACTCTTCAGGCCCACCAAGCCCTCTATCCCTCCGGTGTCCAGAAATTGGTACCAAACTTGCCTGGGAGGATGGCAGCAGTGACTCGATACATTGCTGACCTTGCGAGTAATTGTAAGGCCAGATATGCATCCAACCACCCCCAATGATTCTTCATAAGGTCGAATGAACGACTCATCCCTCAAGGATGGATCAAGTCCGAGAAGTTTATCCTCTTATCCTTCAAGCTGTGGTGGGCATAAGTACCTCACCATGAGCTGGATTCCCACAATTTCAGAAATATGGAACGATGACAAGAATATTTTAACATTGCAACAGAAAAATCGTAGTTAGCGTAATCGCGTAACGCACCTCACAGTGAATAACCAGTTTTCAGCTTTTATTTAAAAAATATGTGCAAAACAAGGTCATGGCGCATGTAGAACTATTTCTTATTTGAAGACGTGGAGTCCGGTCTATATTTCATTTTGGTTAATTCTGACCTTCGAAAAAGTATGTCTCCAAAGGGTTCATTTCCAACTCTCTTGTAAGACGTTTCTATCTTGTCCGTGGCCGCGTCAAACCTTCAAAAGTTCAACGTTTGCGAGTCTGATAATTGAAATATTTGGAAAATACTGTAACAAAGAACTGCACAAAATTCTGCTAATTGTTTGAAAGAATTTACCTAGATGCAATAGCATGAATCCTTGGTATTTTCCTAAACCCTGTACGCTGCATCTTCTCTCCACGATAGCCAAATCCTATCCTTTCAACACCCGTTTGACCGTCTTCTTCCAACTGAATCGCAACTGGATCCACACGACCTTGGTGTAGACGCCCCAATCCTGAGCCCGGTTTCCAACCCATTCTGGAAAAGATTTCAGGTAATTAAAAGCAACCAAGTACTGCTTAAAGATCAAAGTGCCTCAAGTTACGTACGTTTAAATCAAGTAAACGTCTACCTTCCGAGTAGTTTACTTCCGATGCCTCTAGTGTACTGTTCAGTATCCGCCATGCTGGTATCGCTATTACGACGCCTCCTTGAAGATTGGTTCTTTTCCTTCCTAGTGAATACAGATTCTTCCAGTTTGCCCGAACTAAAACACTAGATACGGGTAGGAGAGGAGATCGAAAGATGCATTGTAATAACTACCGTTTAGCTTCATCTTCTCGTATCTCAATAGCATCCCTTGCATCCATTGTTCCAGCCGACTTTCCTTCATAGTAGACGGAATAGTCAACATCCCAGTCGTCAGCCCAAGCCCAGTCGCAGTCAGTACCTATATGGAATCGACTGCCGCACAACTTACCGCTTTCAACTCTTTTCACTAGTGTTTCTTCATTGCTCAGTCTATCCATTTCCTTCTATAGATTACTTAGTCTATTTACATTTAAATGTTTGTGAGCAACATCAACAATGATCACCAAGAAGAAAAACTGGAATAGATAGTACAATCAGAATGTTGAAAACTATAAATAAAGACCTTTCTCCCTTTCATCCCAATAGTTTTTGTCAGTGTACCACACAAGTCCAGGACCTCCTTTCTCCCATATGATTTCCATCTCTTCTTCATACTTCCGGGGCTTAATCCTTTCTTGTTCTGTGACATCGTCATGGAGGGATTCATGCCTTAATAAGTCAGCGATTAAACTGAAAGAAAATCAAAAAGACACCAAAACAGAGCGCCCACAAATATATCGTCTTAAGTAGTCACCTTTCCCATTCCTCGCACTGATCATCATCGTCATCGGGACCGTCGTCATTATCTGGTCCAAAATTGATTTCGAGGATTTTATCAGTTGGATCAGTAGAAAGAGCCTGAAGTGAAGATAAAATTAAAACCAAGATTTCCACTAGTCATACAAACACAATACAGAATGAAGGAGCCATGAACACCTGGTCCTGGACTGAACCCTCTTCCTCTTGCAGAGACTCTTCGAAATCGTCTTTTCTATACGAACCATCACCAGAATTTTTGCTTATTACTGTTTCTGCCGCTGAAAACATTAAGCATGATTGAGCATTAATGTCACCATTTCCTATAATTTGCAATGGAAAACTGTATAGAGAATTCTTACTTCTACATAAGGCATTTTCGACGTTACCCTCTTGGGTGTAATGAAAGGCCACCGACCCATATTTCCTATTTCGACGTGTAGTTTTAAGACCCAATTTAGAAATAAGTGAAGGTGGTAATCGACATAGACGGATCTGAAAATCTCTTAACAATAACTTACATGGATACCTGGATGGCTTGTCTTCATTGGTTGTGGAGTCCCCAGCACAATTTCCACTTTTCTTGGGATCTGCTACTTTAGCCACTGAGGTTCGTTGGAGTCCCTAGGTAAGCCAGACCAAAGTATACCCTAGGTCGTCACCACCACAGGCTGTTGCCGCTCTAGTGGATCAGGATAACATTAGCCACCATGCGACTAGTTTGACAACAGGACAGTGGTATTGGTTTACTCTTAGCCGACCTTCCCAATGAAAACGCGGAACCCCTTCTCAGCACGGGAAACCCTGCTGGGGGGACAAATCGCCCCGCTGTACATCGCAACCACGATAGGCGGCAAACCGTTGGGAGGTCTTTATAATAAACCACTAGAAACAGAGAATTGGCAACACTAGAGCCCTTGAAATCTTCAAAAACCGAATTCTTTGTACATTTTACTATTCTAGCTGTGACATGCAAAATAGCAGGAATAAGAAATCACTAAGAAAATGGCAGCTGAATGATTCGTAATGAAAAGCCCTTAATAACTCACAGTAATTGAAAATATACAGAAATTTTAACAGCAAAGGAAAACATGGAAATTTAGCCCTCCGAAATACCTGTTCCATAAAATACTGTGTCGATGTTCCAACATTGCCACGAGGCATCACCATGGGCGGTCGTAATTCAATCATTTGGCGGAGATCAGCATAGGTTACTGAGTCTGACGTGCTTACATCATCCTGAAACAGGAACTGGAGATATGCTATTGTTATAAGTAACAAAAAATATGTTAAACAGTACTAAAACGATAACTGTTTCACTCACCTTTGCTATCTTAATTGCATTAACGAAGCATCGACGAGGGATTTCCATACCTTCATTATTCACCCAATGCCGACCATGAAAATCACGGATGAATTCAGACCTTAAAAACGTAGTCATACGAATATTGCAGTTTCGACTGTGGGGACTTTGACCAAGCTTGTTATACGAAAAAAGCAATAACAAGGAAATAACAAAATAACACTGCTTTTGATGTGTAAAGCAGTGGTCGGAGGCGCCCTGTAATACGTACGTGATTGATCACAGCGCCCAAGGCCCACCAAGCCTTTCATCCGTCCGAGGCCGACAAATTGGTACCAGACCTGTCTGGGAGAATAGTAGCACTGACTCGATACATCGGTCGACCACTGCGAGTTATTGTAAGGCAGATATGCATAAAATCGTCTCCATTGATGTTTAATGAAGTCAGAAGATAAGAATATATGGTACATCGCTTAAAGATTGATCAACGCCGAGGGCTTTACCCACTTTTTAAACGCTTTCTGGTAAGACTCAAAAGTAGAGAGAGGGGAACCGCGACTAGCCTTTCCGAATCCATCAGCGAAAAAGTAGCACTACGGTTCGCTCTGGCCTAGGGTCCACATTTTGCAAATACCCCAGCATCATTGTGGTTGTAGCTCAAATAATACCGGTTTAAGGACAATTAATGTATCGCTGTGTGTGCAAAGCTGTGTTCAAAGTGATTGAAATCTTGGTTTGGGGTTTCTTTGTTTGGTTATGGAGGCGTCTGGCCGAGTGAGTTGCTATCAACTTGACCTTTCCAGGCTCTGAAGAAGGCGAAATTCGCCGAAACGTCAGCTTAATCGTGAACAAAGAACAATAACACCTCGCGTTTGCTCAAAAATACGAACAAAATCAAATAATACCGTCGTGAGAAACTTATGGGTACTAGATAAAATCTATACCTTATAAAGATAAAATTTCAATGAAAAAGAGAAAAAAGGTTGAACCGGTTAACTTCTGAAGAAGTTCAGAATCATTACGCCC